CCCCAAAACCCCAAAACCCCAAAACCCCAAAACCCCAGAATATTATAGGGCATTTGAAATATTATTAAGATGGTAACATACAGACAGCTCTGGCCTATAACAGGTACAACTCTCTTCCTTAACTTCGTACTAATGATCTGCCTCATGGCAATAACTCTGAAGTACTGGAAGCGAGGAATCAAAGAGTTCTACTTCTGAGCTATTGTACTGTTCCTCATGCTGGCGTATATCACCAGAGTTGTAGAGCTCTCTTTTAATTATTTTCATGAAAGTGATAAAGAATTTAATATCCTAACTGATGATAAGGTTGACCTCTTTCAACAATACATTGTGAGGCTCCCAATCTTCCTTCACGGGATATCTATGCTTAGTTATCTGTTCAGATGGATAAGTTTCTGTATCATAGCCAAGGCTAAATCTTGTAGCCGAAGCACCCTTATGAGTGGAAGGCCAGAGAAAGGACAAAGTAGCTTGTTGAAACTCAAGGTGATCTACATCACTCTTATTGGTCTCCTCTTCGCTGGATTGTTTGCAATTCCTGCTATTAACAAAGGAATGAGAAAATATGTTCGAATTGAAGTTATTGCAATTGATGTATTGACAGGATTAATGTTACTAGTTGTTTGAAACTATTTCTTATACCTTCTAAAGAAGGAACTAGAGGTTCTATATGAAAAGAAAGCAACCACAATAAGGATACTAATCTGGGTCATCTCAGCATCGATATTTTTCAGAAGTGCCAGTTGAATTCTTGACACTATTCGCCAATTTTCTTCAGAAAAATATTCTAATTCTACTTTTAACAAAATCAATGGAGTCGGGCTCTTGGCTTGCTACTATGTTGAAACTTTCCCTTCCATTGGAGTGCTGCTTGTTCTCACTCTCTCTTACAAACAAGCCAAAGCAATGATGCCTCAAGGATACAACAGATGATCAAACCTTGGTCGCATAGACACTCGTAAATTGTTCCTTGACATATAGCCTTGCTCATCGGATCTGATAAGCCCTCTAAATATTACCTGCTTGACTCTGAGCAAGACATGCAGTCATCCAATCACCAACTACTAAACAGCCAGACTTCATCAGAGAACCCTAACTCTCCTGATTCAAAGATCCAAGATCCTTCTGCTAGTAAAAACCTGACTTCGATGCCATCAGACTTCTACATAAAATAAATCACCCTATTTCAATGATTAATCAAGGGAGTGGGGTTTTGGGGTTTTGGGGTTTTGGGGG